AAATATTAGCAGAGAAACAGCACCTAAAATTGCAGAAAGCAACATGTTTTTTTTCCACTCTGTTTTCTCTATGACACACTGCATCATAAAATCCTCCGTTCCACACTTCATGGATTGTGTACCTCAGGCTTTGTACATCAGGCTACCAGACCACCATTCCTGAAAGACCACTGTCTGCTGTTAGACACTTACATGGCTGCTGTGCTGATGACACCAAACTTTTCTTATCAGTTTCCTCATCTGACATGCAGGGGAAGGCCTGAGAAGTCAGGAGAAAAAGAAAGTTTTCATAGGACTCTATGCAGTCCTGTGAAAATCTAAGTACACCCTTAGTGAATCCATAGGAAATAAGAAAGTAGGTAGCTATCAGGAGCTAATCAGATCCCCGTGATTAATTGATCATCAGAAGGTGTGGGCACTTCTATAAAGGCACAGGCGTTGTCATTTTGCTGGTGTGAAGCATTCAGGTGAGTGCAACGAAACAATCTTTCCAGGAGATTCACAACAAGGTCAGACCACGCCATGAGGTTAAACACATTACAAAAAACCCAAGAGCTACAGCTCGGATTCTACAGGCCTCAACCAGCATATTAAATGTTAAAGCTCATAACAGTACAATAAGAAAAAGACAGAACAAGTACAGCATGTTTGGAAGGGTTGCCAGGAAAAAGCCTTGTCTCTCCAAAAAGAAATTGGCAGCACGACTTAGGTTTGTAAAGTTGCATCGAAACAAACCGCAAGACTTCTGGAACAATGTGTTTTGGACAGAAAAGACCAAAGCTGAGATGTCTGGTCATAATGCATGCAGCTGAAAACAGTCATGAACAATAGTTTTCAGACTAGTTTAGCAGAACCTGGGCTCTTTACACTCATTGTCACACATGAACTCCTCTATATACCACAATATGCTAGACTCAAATGTGGGGCCATCTGCTCAACCGCTAACTTGGGTGAAATTAGGTCATGCAACACGTCATTGATACCACACCAACAATCTAGAGCAGAATTGCTGAAAAAGAAAAGAATGAAGGTGATAAAATGGCTCAGTCAAAGTCCAGACCTCAACCTGACTGAACTGAGAACTCTGCATAAACACATTTGTCAAACAACTCAAGAGTGGGCCTAAAATTCTCCACAATGATTTGAGAACTGATAAGGTCATATAGACAATAAGCTACCGCATAACGGGGTGTACTTATTTTTTCACAGGATTAGGTATTATTGGGTGAAAACCTTCTTTTTCATATGACTTTCACTGCTAATCCATGTGATTGTTAAAATACTTCTATCAGCCATCTATAGCTAACCCAAAATCCCACTTTCTCACACATGCTGGTTTCTAGTTTCTGTTTGTAACAGTTTCAAAACTAGCTATATCTCTTAGAGAACACTGTGGTCATTTAGTTTAGTCGCAATGGTGAAATGTGCCCCAGATGAGTCACTGTTTAAAGGAATAACTAAACAAAACAGGTGTTAAGTTCTCATTAGGGACTTTAGGGATGTACAAAGGTGAGTTGCCATTTTCAGTCTCTGCACTAAGCTAAGCTAACCTGCTGCTGATTGCAACTTCATATTGTAGCAACATGACAGTGTTATCAATGATCTCATCAAAGTCTTTAAAAAGTACTTTAAAAGTACAAGACAACTCAGAGGAAGATGTAAGTGAAGCTGATCAAACAGACATGAACTGATCTTTTTTCAGTTATAAAAGCTAATCACACAGTAGGTGTCCCATGTACTCCTTGAATAACATCTTTTACACTTATATTGTTTTTCTGGCAGGACTATACTGTGGTGGTTAGTGCTTTCCCCTCGCTGCTTACCCAGGATGTGAAAGCTCAGCACTGATCTACAAAACTGATCAACAATTTTATCTTCTTTTTCTTCTTCTTCTTCTTATAGTATTATTTTACCTTGTTCCATCGAGGTACACTGCCTCTAGTAACGATGCTGTGTATTCCAGGTTCTTTTTGATTTCTTCAAAATCAACATCTTTCTCGTCTAGCTGCTTCAGCATGCTCCTCAGCCTGAAAGTAAACGAAATATTAGAATCATTTTTGTTGCTTGAAAATTGTTGCACGTCTCAGCATCCACGTGCAATAAGTAAAAAGCAGGATGGGTAAACATTAAAGCGCCGTTTGGGTCCAGAAACAATAGCTAAGGAACAAAAATCAGTGTTTTCTGTAACTTATTCTGCCTACGGTGTTATTTTAGGATACAAATAGGAACAGCTTGAACCTGCAGCTCCGTGAACAGGTCTTTGCAGACCGACAGCACTTGTTGTTGTCTTGAGTCAGTGAAATGACGTCCAAAGCGTTTTAACAATCAGTTGAGAAATCCTGATGAACGGAAAAAGCTCATTTGGAAGTGATTTAAGTGCCAAGCTGTCCAAAAAGGGCATCATTAGTGCCAAATTTTCCATGAGAGGAAAGCTTCCCATGGTTAGGCCCTTATGTAACTCAAATTATATCAAAATATACTCCCTGAAAAAAATCATAATTTTGTGCTTTATCTCAATGTTCTCTGAGAACAGCTGCCTCTTTTTGATTTCGAAACTTTTAATCAAATTACGTGCTGGAAGCACATCCCCTCAAGTATAATAGAAAGCAAATGCTCGATGTCGCTCAGAGTGTAACCCACCTGCCGTGTGTTACTGTAACCTCCTCTCAGGAATGAGTCCCAAAGCTCCACGTCTGATCCAGTTGTCATTAAAATCGTATCCTTAGTTTGTAGGACTGGAATCTTTCTGCTGTGATTGTGTTTTCATTTGACTTCTGAAATATATCGACGTGATAATATACAGTATCCGTGCCGCAGATAATTTCTTCAAAACATCTTATTGCGTTGCCCATATGGTGACCAGAATGACTGTGTTCAAACAGCGTAAGGCCGGGCAATGGAGCCAACTCCTGGGGATGAGACGCTCACAGCTTTTCAAGTGTTTATCACGCTGGCAAAGGCTTTTGAAAGCTGTCGAGTCATAAAAATAGCATGCATCTGAATACCACCGCTCACTTTCTATCTCAAGTAATCTTTCATGATAACACAGCCTTTTTTGTTTCAACTGTTTGCGGCAGAAGAACCTTTGACAGGACGTTTACAGGAAATTACTCCTCAAGTGCACTCGTGAAAGTGTGTTTATAGAAAAAGATGACAAATTCTCCTTTGGCTCAAGCATTGTTGAATCTACACATCTACACACTGCAGAATGTCATCCTCTCCAAGTATAGATGAGCACAAGAGAATGGACTTAATGGCATCTCATTTGCAAGCACAAATTAATAAAACAACGTCACCCCAACCCCCACCCCTGTCCGCACTCAAAACCCCACAAGGTTTGGAGCTCTGAACCCTGCTCAAACTAAAAAACAGATGAGTTCACCAAAACAAAACCACATGACCCACCGCTTCTGCAACAGCTACCTCCTTCAGCAAAAGCGTGGGCAAGACAAGTGTTCACACTAGGAGTAAAACACGTTTCTCCTCTCATGTCACTATGTATATTTGTACGACCAAAAGGTTAAACGCAAAATACTTGTTGAACTTAATTAGAGCAAATACGGTGTGAAACATGTCAAACCATAACCCTCTAACTCCGAGTGTATTTTTGAGTCACACATTTCCACTTTTGCAAAACAGAAAATCTCCTGCATAGAAATGCTGTGCTGCTGAACGTTATTGTAACAAAAAACAAACAAAAGCAAGCATGTTTGATAAAGTCCTCTTGCCCTGTCCATGTAATCAAATAGAAGCTGGAGTGTGTAGTGAACTAAACATAAAGTCTATTAATTGTCTTACCTAGAGATGGGTATCTGGAGCTTTTTCTTACGGATTCGAACCAGTTCAGCCATTCCGTGCTCAAGCTGTGCTCTGATGGACCCCAGAGTTCAGTAAAAAAAAAAAAAAAGAAAGAAAGAAAGAAAACAATGCCAATAAAAAAAAATAAATAAAATGTATTTTAGGGAACTAGTAAGCAGAAAAGTTCTGCAAACTACCAACGCAAACTTTATGTGTCCTGAGACAGACTTCTGTTTCAACAACTCTCCCACCCACTTCTGGGGGAACCTACTCCACTTCTCTCTGATTGGTTAGGCGGGCCCAAACCGTGTCAGTGTGTGCACATGTGTGTGTGTGTGTGTGTGTGTGTGTGTGTGGTGTGTGTGTGTGTGGTGTGTGTGTGAAGAAGAGGAGGATGCAAAGAGAGAGAAAGCGTGCAAGAGAGAGAGAGAGAGAGAGAGAGAGAAGAGTGAGGGGGTCTGTGGGCGTGTGAGTGTCTTTGTCAGACCATGAGTGTTTGTGTATATGTGTACACCCGTTGTGTGAGGTGTGAGAGAGTTGACCTCACTCGCTGATGAAGTGTTGACTGCAAGGCTTTCAAGCAGTGTGTACTCAAATCCCAAATGAGAATTTTCCACCGGCCGCAAATCAGAGAACTGCACAGAGAGTCTTTCAGTGAAGCCCACCAGAGCCACTCAAACCAAAACATATAAACAAAACTTGTCCTTGAAAGCCGTCCGCAAAAGCGCAGTAGGTTAACTGCTGTTATTGGTGCAGCTATGCACAAAAATGTGCCATGTCTTTAAACTGATTACTTTTTTGCAATTGTTGCACAAAATGTAAGCTTCAAAAACATGTGAAATCATCCTAATAATTCATTTCAACAACAGATTTCTTGGTTTCGCTTTACTTACATTTACTAAAATGTGCACCACTGTCAGCTAAATGCGTTGTATCTGCACTAAAAGGGGAATTTTCTGTTTTTTGAGACATTAAAAAGGGCAGAGCGCAAAAGACCAGAGGAGACAGCGAAGCGCATCTCTAAACACTTTTACAGTTCTAGGCCCAAAATCTGTTACCAGCCTTTATTTATAGTAGAGTATTGTGAGAGTTGTGCAATAACGCGGCTTGGGAAAACCCCTGCCTCCGGTTTTTCTCTCTCCTTGGCCGTGCTGCTTTGGCTGCTGGGTCAGACTCACTCTCATGCTCCCATGCTCTTTGACATGACATGGCATATTGTAGAAATGAAGATAAGTAACATCATGTCATATGATTCTCCATCTCCTGTGTCACATTTGGGTATTTCTTTTTTTGTTTTTTTATTTATTTTTTTCCCTAATCGAAAACAGCATCGAATTTCAGATTGTTAAAGAATCAACTTGTGGAAATACCAGAGAGTAGGCTCATATTCGTGCTGTTCTATGTAAATTAAAGGCTGCAGAGGAGTATTTCTTCCGATGTCAATCTTATGTATAACCCTTTGAAAAGAGAATTTTCCTTTGTGTGGTTGCTAGCCTCTTGCTTTATCTTAATGTTTTTTCCCCTCCATTTATCTCTCATCACTCCTGTTTGTCTCTGATGATGACGAGCACGCACCTTCCGATTGCTCTCTCTCCGTGGACCAACCTGAGCCAGTGACTACTTACTCCTGCGCTTCAGAGGGAGAATAAATATTGCGTTTCTTACAGGAACTAAATGTTGCAGAAACAGACCGTGCAGGAGATCACGTAGGGGTGTTTTTGTCTGTTTTTACAACAGAATGTTAAAGAATAAATGAATACACAAACCCACAAAATCTGGTTTAGCGCCACGCTTCACTTGTTTCTGATGCAGTTCTGAAACCTAGTCGGCAATGTGGGTAAGACTAAAGGGCAAAATCAAGCAAACAACAGAATTATTATATTTTTTCACTTTCCTCCAGTTGTGATAGGCACTGCAGAAAGTTTTGGTTCATTTTGCACTAATATATATTTAAATATTATTATCTTTTATCTCAAAAATAACATTTTATTATTATTTATTATACCTCATAATCTTTAGTTTTATACATATTACTTTTTGTTTTCCAGTCTTGATTCGACATCAAGTCATTTGATTCAGCAGTGATGTTATTTCTTAAAAGCCCAAGACTTAAAGCTTAAGTTTAATTTTTTGTGCACACAATCAGGGAAATCTTGAAAACATATTTTTTGCATATTTGTATTGCATTCATGATCCATCCATTTTCTTCTGCTGATCCAACTGAGCCTTGCAGGAGCTTATTCTAGCTTTCACGGGGCGCCAGTCTATCACAGAGCTAACATAGACAAGGTCACACTCACACCTATGGCCCACGTGTTCGTGTTTGGACTGTGGGAGGAAGACGGGGAAATCCACACAGAACATGCTTCACACAGAACGGCCCCAGCCGGTTGATGGATTCCAACCCAGGATCTCCTTGCTGTGAGGCGAGAATGATGCTTGTGCTAATCACTGCACCACTACAGTTTTATAATTCATAATAATTGAATTATAAAAATTTTGATCCACCCATGAAGTTTAAATCCATCATGGAATAAATCCTAGCAAGATTTCCATAAATGTCATAAATATAGCGAGCACTATAAATAAAGACATTACCCCCACTGCAGTGGTGTGAAGGCAGACATATCAGCCCAACGTGGACAAATGAAACTAGAGACACATGTCTGACCACACGGCACAGGGACAAATCATTTTTATGATCAGGTGATCAATACAGTGCATGACATGCTTACTCCCCTAACCTGTGCTTCCACTCTATCTGAATTATACACTTGACAGAATAAATTAATCATTTTTGGGTTGGCAATTTGGGACAATTAATATCAATTAATAGACTATGAAAATTAAAAAAATACATCATATCAACAGTGTTGTACTCCACAATCACAGAATCACAGAATCTACAGAAATTATGATCATAGGGTAAGAACATAAATAAATGCCTTACCATCCCTGTGTTATCCTCCATGTCACAAGGCTGAGATTTCGATCAGCTGCTCCACGTATCTTACACGTTGGTGTCATGACCTCTGGATTGCACCGCTGCAGAAGACCAGCTGCATGTGTGTGTTTGTTGGTTTAAGAGAGATACGAAATGGCTTACACCTCTGTAAGTAAATACAGCATGTGCAATTATGTCATGATGTAAACCAGCCTTATGTGCACATAAGGCTGGTTTATGTTACCTATGCTGCTCCTTGTTACGTCTCCTGTGTATGTAAGCAGTATTTTGCAGTGTGCACAGTATGTGGGTGTGGGTGTAATCCCCTAGTGTTCAGTGCTCAGCTGGGGAGGCTTTGCGTCACCAATACAATCAGCAAGAGAGTGTTCATATCAGGACCAGAGTTTCCACCATGTCCTCAGGGGCTCAGGATAGGCTGTGCAAGGGAAGAGTTCATATGCATGCAAGGTTTCCTTATGCAGAAAAGACACGACGGTATTAGCACTCATTCTTAGAGCATGTTTTTATGTGTGATTACATTTTCATTGTACTGGTAAACACAAATATAGAATTTTGAATCACTAGCAGACATTTAATTAATCTTTCAGAATACAAATAAAAGCAAATTAGCTCCTGGTTTGCTCAACCTGCACTTTGCCTGCTACCATGAATTATGGATAATTTTTTTAAAAGTTCTTTTGATCAAATTTTTCATAAAACAAGCTAAATCCTAAACCAGTGATTTCAAACAGCATCTAGCTCACGTTATAGCAGCATTATAGTGTGTTGTAAACCTTCTATTTCAAAACTGAGTGAAGAGAGAGGAGCCACTCTACTATACAGGCAAAGAAAAATCTCCATTAAATCTTTACGAGTATAAGGAAGAATAAAAAAATAGAAAAGGAAGCTTACAAGGCGGGTAGGTGCTTAATGGGAAGCATGATGAAATAAGAATGAGCAAATCTTCCACCTGATATGTAGCTATTCTGTGGACAAAAGTGATGAAAATATGAAAGGAAAGGAAGGCCGCTTTTCTGTCTAATGCACAGAAAAATATTCCTTCACACGTACAGATTAATTCTGTTCATAATTTTGCAGTTTATTCATGAACATTCATCTCCATAAATGTTCCTCATAGTGGGGACTGAAGCTCTCATGCTCCCGTGACAGGGCTCAGTCCCCGGTGTGCGCACGTACACATAAACACCGCACACAAGCACACACGTCTCCGCTGTGGTAACCAAAGAGACACAACGGCAGCATGTGCCGAATAGACAGGGAGGAGACCGAAGAGAGGGCAAAATGGAAGAATGGCGTGACATGGCAAATATAGTTAGTGCAAAAATATAATCAGTGAGGGCCACCTAAAATTAGCAACAAGCACTTCCAGCTCCGTACAACTGGAGTGCATCATTTAAACTGTCCATGAAATATGGAGAGGACAGGACTATCATCCAGGGAGAGAGGATGAGGGTAAGTGAGGATGGAGGACAGACTGGAAATAGGAACTCGGGTTGAATACTCGTGAAAAAAGGGCAAAAAGCGTATTATTGTCTCTTTATTCATGGAAAGGTTGTTAGAAACAATGTTATACAGCATCTATGTATGCAATGATTTATGTACGATTGGATGGGGTTATATTTTAAAAACATATATTATTGTACTCATGATGTATCTAAAGTATAATACTGAGGATGTTACAAAATCATTTTTTAAAAGGTTATTATGTAAACTGAGCGCTATAACACTGACATTGTCAAAAAGTACAGCACATATTAAATTAATCTGAATAAATGTTAAATGAAAAGTATTTTTAACAAGGTCTTCAGCCCAGAGTCACAATGAAGGACTTGTACACCTCCCTGTAGGCATTTCGGAGGAGAACGTACGGGAAGCAGCTCTCCAGCATGTCTTGGCTCAAGAATGGAGACTCCTCCACGATCTAAGTGAGTGAGGTTTAAAAGGAGTCGTTAATTGTTCAATTATAAATGCTTTGAAGTAGAGAGGCATTAAAGAAGACGCTGCAGGTCTGACCAGTCATTGTAAAG